CACTGTATCTAGACTGAATGTGGCATACTGCGCAGCCACACAGGCCTGCAGGGCCCGACCAGCATTCTCAGCCTAAAAGCCTGAAAACAAGGGCCTACAGGCCCTGTGTCGTTTTCAGCCTAAAAGCCTGAAAACAAGGGCTTACAGGCCCTGTGTCGTTTCAGCCTGAAAGCCTGAAAACGAGGGCCTACAGGCCCTGTGTCATTTCAGCCTGAAAGCCTGAAAACGAGAGCCTACAGGCCCTCTGACGTTTCAGCCTAAAACAGGGCCTTCCAGGCCCTGAGTCTTTTCAGCCTGAAACGGAGGGCCATTTTTAGGCCCTCATAAAGTTGAACTGCCCTGAAACTTAGGCACCAAACCAGGGTTTTATCACAGGCCATTTTTGGCCTGTTTTCAAGACAGCCCTTGTTTGAACTTCAACGCCAGGGTCTGGCACGTTTTGGCATTGGCAAGAGCAGCCTCTTGGACGGGCCAGCACTATATAAGACTGGCCCGCCCTACAGGCTGCAGACAGTCACGAGGTAGTTCATAGGAACTTCCCAGGCACTTCACGTGCAGAAGGCAGGAGTGGTCTTCAGGATTCGGCAGCAGCACTCTGGAGGAGCGCTGCGGGAGTAGCTTTAGCGCTAGCAGTAGTCTTCAGCGCTGGGCTCTAGTAGCTGTAGTGGTAGTCTTCAGCGCTGGGCGCTGGTAGGAGCAGGGTGCGGTTGGAGAGAGATGGCTGGCGGAGGCCAGGAAGACTTACCTGTGGCGCCATAGCTCCAGCTCCATCTTCGAGGTACCTGCATCAAGGCGCCTACTTCACAGGTTAGTACCGGACTGAGAGAGAGAGAGAGAGTTCTTCTTCTTCCTCTTCTAAGTCCACCATCTCTTCTTCACCCTCTCGCTACCTGACTTCTCAGTATCTGCAGACTACGAAAGAGAGAGAGAGAGATGTGACTTTGAGACTTGACGACATTGGATCCAGACTCGACATGGGGGATTCAGACATTTGACGAGGGATTATTTGGGACCTGTACCAAAGACTTGGTGTTGACGACATTCCCATTTTCCCTTCTTCGTCTAACCCCCCCCTTCTTCGTCTGTGTATGGTTGGGGACTGGCGCATTCTTCCTGTGTGAGCGCCAGGCCCCTTCACACCATGGAATGATGATGATGTATGTTTGAGGCTGCATTGCAACATTGATTGTTCGGATCATTGGTATCTAAGTCTTCCGCTACGCTAACTTGTACTTTGTGAGAGAGGTCGGTTCTTGTTCTGGTCTGCACCATTACGGTATGCAACACTGAAAGATGCATTCTATTCAAGCGAAGAAGGTAGGGGATAGGCAGGTACAGCCTAGAGGCACGAGGTCGGAAGGAGCTTGGCAGTTGGACCTACCAGTCCAGCGAAGTTTATGGTGTAAGGAGCAGTTCATTTCTACCTCTCTGCAAGCAGTGATGATGTTGCTCTGCTCTGAGGATGAGTTAGCGGAATACATTTGGGACACACACGAGGAGTTTAGAGGTGAGGAAGATGTCCTCTGTGGCTATGGAGGTTGAGTGGGAGGAGGAAGAAGAAGAGTCCGGGTATGGAGGTTAGGGTTTGTGCTCACATCGGGCCTAGACATGAACGGAGGTGTCGCATACCTATCAATCTCAGATAGGTCTGACACAGAACCAAGGAATATCAGAAGTGGGAAATGGTTTGTCCAGACACCACCCTCACATAACATGAGCACACCAGGTCTAATAACGCGAAACTGATTCCGAAGAGGCTCACTTAATGTCCTTCAACCTTGACTTAGTGCCGCTAGGCCCACCAATCAATTAAATAACAGGTTAGAAGCAAGACTCATTCCAACAAGGAAGGGTTGACCGTTCATTACATTCATTCCATTTGAGGACGGATACTAATGGCAATTACAGTGCTGTGGATTGCTCATCGTCATTATTGCTATAGCGAGTTTCAGCAGAGGGATTTCAGGAGTTCAGATTCCGGTCTCCTATCCTTGGCTTTGCCCCTCCTCTTCCTCCACTTACTTCCTCTTCCTCAACAACTAACTAGTGTGCTATGCACAGGCAGACTGGTCTATCATACTTCGCCATACCAAGCCCTAAGCCCGGAACCCACGCTTCTGCTCCCCATCTTTTCCCACACAACTTACAAGAGTGCCAACAGGCAGGGTGTGCTCCTCATCTTCCCTCCTCGCCCTTCTCACTCCAGAGAAGATCCTTTCCTCCCCCCT